AAAAAAAAAAAAAAAAGGAAAGAATTGTACTGTTGTGCCCACATGACCATCACCTAGATTCTGTAAGTCACATTTCTGCCATATTTGCTGAATTATCTAACCACTCATCACTCTTACTTTTTCTTGCATTTTCAAGGTAAATTGCACACTTGCTTATACCTCCCCCAACCAATCAGATATGTAATTATGAAGAAAAGTTCGATGTTTGCGATAACTTTTTAAGTCCTTTTTGCTTCTTTTTTTGGGTACCAGGGATCGAACTCAGGACCTTGTGTTTGGAAGGCAGGAGGTGGAACCACTGAGCTAAATCCCCAGCCCCTTTTGCTTCTTTTTAATGTTCCTATGGGACATTTCGTCACTTAGTTTGAGTGTTAAATGTTTTGATGTTGTCGCTGGTCACTTTCAAAATGGTTTTTGCCCCCAGTCCTGCTATGATCCAGTGTATCACAAAAGGAAGTTACAGTCATGAGACAAGAGATCTGATACTTTTCAGCTCTTTTTTTTTTTTGGTACCAGGGATCGAACTCAGTACCTTGTGCTTGCGAGGCAGGCGGCAGCACCACTGAGCTAAATCCCTGGCCGAGATATGATACTTTTAGAAGAACCACACTTGGGTTAGATTCTGCTCTGCTCTGCCTCCCAGTGTGGTGCTGTAGTATTTTGTGTTTTTTGTTTTTTGTTTTTGTTACCAGGGACTCTGGTCCTTGCACCTTCACAGGCGGTGAAACCACTGAGCTAAATCCCCAGCCCTGTAGTAGTTTGAAAGGACTGTAAGAGGGCTTATCTTGAAACCCAGAAGTAAAACCTGGTGTTGTGCAACTTGTAAAATAACAGCAGTGGGTGGAGCCACCACCTCTTAAGAAAAAGATAATTAGGGCCAGGGATTTAGCTCAGTGGCACTGTACCTGCCCCCAAGCTCGAGGTCCTGAATCCTATCCCTGGTACAAAAAGAAAGAAAAAAAGATAAGCAGAGGAATCTAATATTCCCGCCCTACCTCAGGACCTTGCACTTTCGAGGGAGGGTGCAGCACTACTGAGCTAAATCCTGGCCCTACTCTTCTTGATTTAGGCATTCAATATTGTGTTCTCTTTTTTGAAAAAAAAAAAACCAAACAAACAAGCTAAAGTGACCATCTATCTATGGTTCCTATGGGGGGTAGAGAATCCACAAGGAAATGGTATTGTGTACGTGCCCCCCCCACCCCCGCTCTGTGGACACTTGCTTCTTACTGTGTTCCCTTGCTACCTTCTTGTGTGTTCAGCTTTTTATTGCAAAATGGATTTGTTGCCTTGCCAACTCGTTCACTTTTTATTTAAATCCTTTTATCTTGTTATTAGGCTGCTCTTTGGCGTAAATTGCAATCGATTAGGGATCGTTTCTCAGACTCAAGTTAGAAGTGAGATTTCAGATAAGTGAGGCCGCCATTGCTGCTTTGAACACCTCAGAAGGGGAGAATGGATTTATCAGGAGTGAAAAAGAAGAGCTTGCTAGGAGTCAAAGAAAATAATAAAAAGTCCAGCACTAGGTAATCCTTCTGTAAAATTTTTCTAGTGCTACTTTGGGGGTGCTCACTGCTAGGGGCCCTCAGAAAGGGGAGATTGGAAATGTTTTGCATTCTACAGTGAGTGTCCTAAGCCACAGATCATTTTGTTTTGTATTACCTGGGACCTTTAGCCATTTTGGACCCCTTTTTGGGTTGTTCTCTTATTTTGGGGTTTGGTCAGAGGAGCATCCAATCTCATACTCTTCTCCACCACCCAGGGCTCCTTCCCCTACCAAACGCAAGGACCGCTCTGATGAGAAGTCTAAGGATCGCTCTAAAGACAAAGGGGCCACCAAGGAATCTAGTGAGAAGGACCGCGGCAGGGATAAGACCCGGAAGAGGCGCAGTGCTTCCAGTGGAAGCAGCAGCACCAGGTGGGGCATAGCGGCCACTGAGGAACCACATTCCTCCATAAAAGGCTACTTTTCCTTAACTAGCTATAAAGCAGCCACACTCTTGGGTTGTTAACAGAGACCCTGTGATGTTACAGAATACTAGTGAGGGTCTTCTTTTATAGATAGAAGGTAATTTGGGTATTTTTTTCCTGTGGAGTCTAAGGAATGTGTCATTTTCGGATATGATTTTCTTTCATCTGTATCCTATTCAGAATTGCAATTGTGTTGCCCTAGTCTAGAGTTTATTTTTCAGTAGTTGAAATCCAGCCTTCACCAGGCATGGTGGCATGTAACTGAGGCAAGAAGATTGGAAGTTTAAGGCCAGCCTTAAGTATATAGCACAGCCTTGTCTCAAAAAACAAAAAAGGAAAGAAAGAATACCATCCAGAGTTCATATGTAACATCCCTCCCAAACTAGTAGTTCTAAGCTAGACTTCTTTGTCTCCCAGTAGAAAAGGTTCCTATGTGGGTAGTAACCTTAGCCTGTCCCTACCCCCCTTTCTTGTCACTGTACAGTGCTGTGGCTTGGGGTAGAGGGGGAGTGTTCTCCCCACTGGGGAAAGCATTGAGGCATGAAGATACTTGGACAGCAGTCCTCTTTTGGAGTGTCTGGTGTGGACAAATACAGCTTCTGCCCATTGCTGCCTTTACCCGCTCCACCTTTCCCTTAGGTCTCGGTCCAGCTCAACTTCCAGTTCAGGCTCTAGCACCAGCACAGGCTCCAGCAGTGGCTCCAGTTCCTCTTCGGCATCCAGCCGTTCTGGAAGCTCCAGTACATCCCGCAGCTCCAGTTCCAGCAGCTCCTCTGGCTCTCCGAGCCCTTCACGGCGCAGACACGACAACAGGCGGCGCTCCCGCTCCAAGTAAGTGCCACATTGACAGATGGGGCTGTATATGAACTGTGGCTAATAATTCAAAAGAAGTCTTTCTGGTATGATTGGATTTCTAGGGCAGGGACAAAGTATGTGAACTGGGGGAAACTTCCTTGTAAAAGGCATTATATAAGTAAATGATATCCCACTAAGAAGGAATCCAGCAATTTTTGTGCGTCTTTGCCCATATCTGGTGTTAGGGACCAAACACAGCACCTTACACGTGCTAAGCCAGTGCTATACCATTGAGCTACACTCCAGTCCAAATCCATTACACTTCGACTTGACATAAGTTGATTGTTTCTGATGTTTTGTTTTCTGTCAGATCCAAACCACCTAAAAGAGATGAAAAGGAGAGGAAAAGGCGAAGCCCTTCCCCTAAACCCACCAAAGTGCACATCGGGAGGCTTACCAGGAATGTGACTAAGGTGAGGATCACAAATCCATTCTGGGGACAGTGGTGTGTACACAGCCAGGCCTCTGGCATCAGGTGCACCTAGAATGTAGCCTACCTGATTCAAGTAGTACACTAGTTTAATTCCTTTTAATGGATTGTTAGATATCCATATAGGCGACCTGGCCCAGTGTGGCAGTGGGCTTCTTGTCAGATGGCAGATGTTTTTGCATTGCTGAGGCTTAGCCATTGTATGGTGAGTGAACGTTAGTAATAACCCTTCCTTCCCTGTAGGATCACATCATGGAGATATTTTCCACCTATGGGAAGATTAAAATGATTGACATGCCTGTAGAAAGGATGCATCCTCATCTATCCAAAGGCTATGCATATGTGGAGTTTGAGAATCCAGATGAAGCAGAGAAAGCGCTGAAGCACATGGATGGAGGTAGGGTCACTCTGCCAGCACCCTTTGACCTCCCACCTTTGTCCTCATGGAGACCCATTGCTTGTAGGGTTCTTTCAAGCTGATTTTGATTCCAGCTGCACTTGAGTTTTACTGGAGCTCTTTTGGGATTCCAGTTCTTACTCAGTGTGGGTGTGTTTATCAAAAACATGTTTTATGGAACACTGTTCTTGGAGGGAAAATCTAGCAAATATGAATATATTAGCACTTTAAGAAATTTTCAATCTGTTAAGCCTAGGGAACAAATGAAGCTTTTCTTATAAAGAATATATTAGGCTTTTTGTGAGAATATTTTCTTTAATCATTTGAGTCATTGCCTGTTTTGCCAACATTTTATCATTTTTAGGATTATTTTATCAGGTGATGGATTTACTGAATTTCATTGATGTATTTCTCAAACACCTATATATTTAACTTTTTTTTTTTTGGTACCGGGGATCGAACTTGGGTCCTTGTGCTTGCGAGGCAGGTGACAGAACCACTGGGCTAAATCCCCAGCCCTATATTTAACTTTTTATAATATTCATAGTTATTTGTGTTGGTCAGAGTGGGGTTTTTTTGTTTTTTGTGGTTTTTTTCCCTTTTTTTTCAGAATGATTTTTAAAGCATATAAACACAAATAGTTTTAAGTGACCAGTTTTCATTTGGTCTTGGAGTGAACATTTTAAGGAACAGAGTTTGTCTCTACTGCTGTGATTGGGGCAGACTGGGCTGAGAACAGGCAGCCCTTAGTACTGTGTGGTTAACAAGGCCCAGATGGGAAAGATTCTGAATGCCCCAGAACCTCAAGAGTCCTCTGGGGCCCAGTGGTAAGCTTTATAAATAGCTCAACAGGTTTTTTGTTGTAGTGTTTTTGGGGGGTGTGGGGGGGCGGTTGTTTTTGGTTGGTTTTGTTTTTTTGTAATTGAGTAAAGCTTGGGTACTGGAAAATTTTCTTTTCCTTGATCCTTAGCCAACCTCTCTTTCAATTTGATTTTTTTTTTTTTTTTTTTTTTTTTTTTGGTTCTGGGAATCAAACTCAGGACCTTGCACTTATGAGGCAGGTGGTGGCACCACTGAGCTATCCCTGACCCTCTTTCAATTTATATATGTCCCTCTGAAGTGTTTTAGGTACTCAGCATAATCTGCTGTCACTCATACCAGCTCTTGGCCCTGTGAATCATGCCTTCACTTTAGAATCTGCCAATCCGTCTGGTATTTGACAATCTGAGCACTTGCTGATTGGCTTAAAAACTTAGAAGATTGAGGGACATCCGTGGTGGGCATGAATATAAAAATTGTCTGAAGATCCTGGTAGGATTTTATATGTGCCCCACATTGTGCTATGCATCACCCAATGGAAGAAGTCCACAGTGTCTCTCAGGGGAAACTGGAGAAAGTTGGCCCTTACTGGGAGCTTACCAAAAGACGCATTTGTCTCTGTTACAATATACTCAGTGCTGTGAAATCCTTAATTTGAAATGGTTTTGGCAGTGGTCCAGAGGCCACCCTAGACTGGGTTTTCTTAGGTTAAGCTTCTTGAGTATGTTCTGAGTGTAAGTCCATATGCCTGAGTTAGACCTTGGGTACCTTGCAAGAAAGGAGCTGAGGAGACAAAAGAGTCCTTGTATACCCTGTGCAGACATCAGAGGGGCTGAGTGTGGACTGTAAGTATCCCTGGCTCTGAAGACAACCTCTGAGGTCTATGCCTCAGTTCCCTTTGTTCTTCTCTTTACTGTGTCCTACAAGTTTCTGGAGTTTCTGTCCTACATGTAGTGTTTAATGCTGTCTGTGTGTAGTAGTCTCCCTGGGGCCTCTTTAACAATATTCCCCAACAGAGTTCTACCTCATTTAATCCCCCACTGCTTGTAGCAACCCATCACCAAGTTCTGGCCAGTTTGCTTCCCAGTAATTCCCTGAATTCTTCCTTTTCCTTCCCCTTTGATGGGTATCATTTCATTTTAGTGCTATAGAAGCTTCCTGACAGGCCTCTCTTCTCTTGGCCCAGTCCTAGCTTCCCACTGTGGCTGAGAAGGAAGCTCAAGTGCTTATGCCACCTTTATGGCCTTCCAGGAATGCCCTCATCCTGTCTTGCAGCCTTATGTTCATCTGTCAGTTACTCCACTGCTGCCTTTTTTCTGGTTCTTTGAAGCTTGTTTTTCTGTGTAGCAAAGTCCAGCATATTCTTCAGGTCTTCACTTCAGCAGCACTTGCTCTGGGAAGCTGTCCTAACACATTAATTAATGTTCACATTCAGGTCCCATGCTTCATTCAGTTTTTTCTGATGAAATTCAGTTCTGGTGTAGTTATTTCTGGGATTATTTTATGCCTTTCATTGTCCCCTGGTTCTGTCTTGTTCACTGTGATGGGCCCAGCCTCTGGTTTGGTGCTTTGCCTAGGGTAGGTGCTTGTTAGATAGATATTTTATGAGTTGATCCTTTTACTATAGGACAAATTGATGGTCAGGAGATAACTGCTACTGCTGTGCTGGCCCCCTGGCCTAGGCCACCACCCCGACGATTCAGCCCTCCCAGGAGAATGCTACCACCACCTCCCATGTGGCGCAGGTCACCCCCACGGATGAGGAGAAGGTATGTCAGTTTGGAATATTCACTGGACTCATTGGGCCACTTAGTTTGATGTACAAATGTATGTGATTGTGATTACTTTGGGACCCTTTATTCAGTGCAGGTTAGCATGGTGGGTCTTGGGAGGTTGTCAGGAAAAGAATGGCAGTCATGGGCCAGGGATTTAGCTCAGTGCTTTCGGTGCCTGCCTCGCAAGCGCAAGGTCCCAAGTTCGATCCCCGGTACCAAAAAACAAAAAAAGAATGGTAGTCACAGCATGGGACAATAACAGGCAAAAGAGGTTCTAGGATTGTGTCAGGACCACCCTTGAGTAAGCAGTGAACTGGGAATCCTTTTCCATTCCTAGCTAGAAAACAGCACAGGTCAGGAGGGAGGAATTCTGGGGTCAGAGGTGTAACAGAAGGATAATTCCCTGGGCACAGGTCACAGTGTTGAAAAATAAAGTGCAAAGGATTCCAGAAAGAAGCCAGCTTGCCCCTGTAGCACTTCTTCCTGGGTCTTTCGCTTCTGATGGTCTGACTTCCTGGGTCTTGCGCTTCTGATGGTCTGACTTGGTCTCTTCTTTTCCCACAGGTCACGCTCCCCAAGACGCAGGTCCCCTGTACGCAGGCGGTCCCGTTCTCCTGGCCGCCGCCGCCATAGGAGCCGCTCTAGCTCCAATTCTTCCCGATAAGCAAGACTACCGAAGCTCACTCTTGTAACTTATGTCCCAGTCAGCTCAGTTTTGTCACTTCTCTAGCATAATGAGCAGCAGAAGAGGATCCCTCACTCAGGCAGACTTCAAAGGCAGCAATGGAGACACGTTCTTCAAACGGGTTCTGGCTACAGAAGTGCTCTTGGTTCAGGGCTGTGCCCATAAATGCACCTTGCAGTTTTCTGTCTAGGAAGCTCACCATTCACATCTCATGAGTCTGTTCAATGGCAGAGACTGTAGGAACAAGCAAGCCTCCAGGTGGCAGATGCCCCAGCCTTTCCAGATGACTTGGGGGCAGTCTGGCAATGTGATCATACCTTGGGGACCAATTCACCATTCTCATTAGACCTGGCCCTTTGATCCCTGCTTGAGTCCTCTTCCAGCCTCTAGGATCAAACACCTAGAAAGACCCCTGTGGCCTGTGTTAGTTGTCATAATGGTTCTGTCTTTCTATGTTCTCACCTATACACGCACCCCATTTGTCTTCTTTTTTTTTTTTTTTGTTACTGGGGATTGAACTCGGGTCCTTGCACTTGCGCAGCAGGCAACAAAACCACTGAGCTAAATCCCTGGCCCCCATTTGTCTTCTTGACTCAAATGTTGGTGAGCAATTTGAGAACCAGCTTTGCAGGTCACCATGGAGCCCCCCCATTTCACCTGCCATTCATGGTGGTCTTGCAGGTTACTTTGGCAACATGTACATCGCTTTTTTGGCTTTTATTGTACAGTCAGTGGTATAAAATTTGAGTTTTGTAACTTTGTAGCATTTTAGATAAGGTTGTGTTTGTTCTTTGTTGTGTAGAGTAAAGGAATTGTATTGAATAAACCTAGGATTAGAATGCAGATTGAGTACTGGTTTCACTATTCTTTACTTCCCAGAACTGCTTCACATAGTCATGATTTCTGATGCTGAACCAACTAACAACAAAATGTTTTAATTTCGAAAGTGACACCTCCAAAACCTCTCAGTCAGAAAAACTTGTGCCTAAGAGTTTTAGGTTGCTCCTATATGTAAACATTAGGGAAAAGGGATGTTTGTGCTATCATCTTCCTAAAGGGTTTGCTTTTTTTTTTTTGGATACTGGCAATTGAACTCAGGACCTTGCACTTTCAAGCCAGGCACAGTGCCCAAGGGTTCACTTCTGTCTGAAACTCATCTGCTACTCTTGAATTGCTGTGGCAAAATATTTCTCTACCTCAAAAATTAGTTTTGAGCCGGGCACAATGAATCCTCAGTTATAGGGCTTAGGCAAGAGGATCACAAGTTCCGGGGTGGCCTGGGCAGTTTAATAAGACTGCCTAAAAATAAATGGGAATGTAGCTCAAGCCCTGGGTTTTAGTCCCCAGTACTGCCAAAATTGGAATGTGCCACAAGGAAGAATTGAAGTGTTAAGATGGTAACAAAAGTTGAGGTTGCCCAACTGTACCTACTGTTGCAATGGTCAGAACAAGACACCACACTGGGCAGTAGTGCACAGGCCAAATAGGTGACCCTTTATTCACGTCCTTTAGTTTGTGTAGTTTTCGGCAAATACACATTAGGATATCTCTGCCTGGGCCTGGCCTTCCTGCATGCTATCTGCTGTCCACACCAGCCCCCTGACAGGCGAAGTGAGAGTCTCTACTTCACCCCTCTAATGTGGCCTCATTGCCAGAGGCGGTGGTGACTGGAACCTTCCTTTCTTGGCACCTCAACAGGAGCCCAGGACTTTGCACTTTCTCCAGACTGGGCAAGGCTCTGCTCCCCTATAGGCCAGGCCGGGTGGGGCGGGACGGGGGAGGAGCCAAACGGGGACTAGGCCTCAGTGCGACCTTCGGGGTCGGGCAAGATGGCGCTGGCGGCTGGCAGAGCCATGCTGATGCGCTCGGGTGCGTGACGGGCGGGGGGCGAGGGCCACTCTGGGAGTAGGGTCTGGGCGACTACATCCACCAGTTGCGCTAACCAGCCTTCCGCCTGGTCCGTAGGGGTCCGGCTCGGCACACAGGCGGCGGCCCGTGGCGGGAATGGCGCGCGGCGCTTCATGAACCACCGGGTGGTGGTGGAACCGAACACAGTCCCAGGTGAGCCCAGCAGAAGGGAGGAACTGTCCCACGCCCCGGGTGAGGCAAAGCGATGACTACAAACCGCACCGTAGCCCTGTCGTCCTTGATCTCCGGAGCCGGGTCCTGAAATCCGGTCTGAAGTGCAGACAGACTCCTGTGCACGCTGTTGAATTTCCAAAAGTCAGAGATAAAGCCCCAGTGCAAATTCGCGTTAACGTCCGGTGGTTTAAATGGATCTTATTCGTTAAGAAAAGTGTTTTCTCTTTTAATCTGAGGGATGAGATGTTATCTAAGATATTGAATTAGTTGAAAATGATCGGAAGCATTTTCTTTTAAAATATTATCATTTTTTAACACTCTTACATAGCACAGAACCCAGTTATTGTTTTTCTATTTTTCTTTCTTTCTTTCTTTCTTTCTTTTTTTTAAATTCAGTAATGGCCATGGAACCCATAGGTGCTCTACCAGTGAACTACATCTCCAGCCCTCTATATTTTTGAGAGAAGGTCTCAGTAAGTTGCCATGGTGGTCTTGAATTTGCAGTCTTGCTGCCTCAGTCCCCCAAAGCAGCAACTTTTTCTGATTAAAGCCTGGAGCCACAAATGGGATCACTCCCCACTGCTGCCCCCTCCCCCACTGAGAACCGTCTAGCACAAATAGAGAAAGCACTTTGAGAGAAACCTTGGCTTTCCCTGCAGAGAAGTGACAGCTGGGCTCAGAGCTTGGGGTCAGAAACTGGCGAATTTTCACACTTTGGAAAGTGGCCTCTCTTCACTCTCTTCACCATGGCCTCTCTTCACTAGGCTTCAGCTCTGTCTAGGGATCCCAGGAGGAAGCTGCCTCCTGCCCAGATAGACCTCCAGCCTGGCCCTCCCCTGCCTGGCCCTCCCCTGCCTGGCCACTCAAGCTGTGCCAAAACCTGCAGGTTAAGGTTCCCTGTGCCTCCCAGCTGGGTTCACTTCTCGAGCTGCCTGAGCAAGGTGGTGAGGGGCCTTGGCCTTAAACCCAACAGAAGGTTAAAGTTTTGTTTTGTTGTTTTTGTTTTTCTTGTACATTATTGTGGATTGAACCCAGGGCCTTTGCACTGAGCTGCATCTCCAGCCCTTATTTTTTACATTGCAAAAAGATCTTGCTAAATTGGGCTCAAACTTTCCATCCTCCTGCTCAGCCTTCCAGAGTTTTGAGATTATAGATGTGTGCCACCACAGCCAGCTGTAGCTACTTGGGAGGCTGAGGCAGGAGGATCAAAAGTTCAAGGCCAGGGGCCAGGGATTTAGCTCAGCACCTGCCTCGAAAGGTCTCAAGTTCAATCCCCAGTACCAAAAATAAATAACTAAATAAAAGTTCAAGGCCGGCCTTGGCAATTTAACAAAACTGTCAAAAGAAAAATTAAGGGCTAGGGGTATGGCTCAAGGGTAGAATGTCCCTAGCAATCCCCAGTGCCAGGGAGGGGAAAAAGTCTTGAAGTGCTGTATTGAAGCTGATTTTTTTGTTGTTGTTTTGTCTTGTTTTCTCTTTTTTTGGTACTGGGGATTGAACTCAGGACCTTGTGCTTTTGAGGCAGGCGCCGGAACCACTGAGCTAAATCACTGGCCCTTGTCTTGTTTTCTTGAGACAGGATCCCACTGTATTCCAGGCTGGCCTTAAACTCACTAAGTAGCTCAGGCTGGCTTAAAATTCACAGTGATACTTCTGCCTCAGGCTGCCATGTGCTAGGATTACAGCTGTGTGCCACAGTGCCCAGCTCTTGAAGCTGATTTTAGATTCTCTTCAACACATTCAAGAGTTTGATTTACCCACCCAGTGCCAAGAATGCAGTTACCCCATCGTGGTCAAGTCCAAACTCTCTAACTCTTGTTTACCTTCGGCTTCTTTACCTTTCCCTCAGTGTCCTCAGCTACCCTGCCAGACTGTAGTCAGTTTCAGAAACTTCCTGCCCAGCCAGGTTTGAGAAGTGCTTTTCTTTTATGTATTCCTGTAGCAGGGTAATAGTTACCTCTTCCCCATAAATCAAAGGTCCCAAAGAGGCCATCTGCCACCAAGACTTAGTTCAAGTTTCCAGAGAATAATTTATGTTGACAATCCAGTAACTGATATCCTAACCAGGGAAATTCTCCATAAATGACTGGTGGTGTTTTGAAAGCCACCAAGCACCAAGAAGTAGTGGGAAGCAAAAACAGGAGCCATTGGCCAACAGCTGCAGTGTCTAGGAGCAGGCCCTTGTCTCTCCTGTTTTTTCTGGCAGAATGAATGATGGGCCAAGGACAGTGTAAGGATGTCTGACTGCAGTGTTTTCAGCCTCTGTCTCTAAATGAGCATGAGCTGAACCCCTGCTATAATTTCTCATACATCTAGTCCTTAGATTCTTTTTTTTTTTTAGACAAGGTCCACTGTGTAGCCCAGGCTGGCCTCAAACTTGTGGCCATCCTGCCTCAGCCTCCTGAGTGCTGGGATTACAGACATGTGCCACCAGGTCCACATCTTTTAGATTTTTCTTGCTCACTCCTCAAGAAAGTGAAGTGTGTCCACCTCCCACAGGACTCAGGACTTGCTGCTGGGGAAAAAGAACAAAGATGAACATATTGATGAAATAAAGATGAGCCAGCCATGAAGACAGGCTAGTGAGAAATAGAAGACCTACGGCCAATTCCATCCACTGTCCTGTAACAGGCAGTCAGAACCCTGGCCCAGGAAAGTGTGGCAATACATGCCTGTTGTCCCAGCACTTGGGAGTTTGAGGCAGGAGGATCACAGAGTTTGAGGCCAGCCTGAACTACATAGTGAGACCCTCTAAAAACCAAAAAAACCCTGCATTTAAAAAAAAGAACCCTGGCTGTGCTAGCGCAAGGACCCGAGTTTGATCCCCGGTACCAAAAAAAATAAACTAAATTTTAAAAACAATAAAACAAGAACTCTGGGGCTGGGAATTTAGCTCAGTGGTGTCACCGCCTGCCTCGCAAGCACAAGGACCCGAGTTTGATCCCAGGTACCGAAAAAAAAAAAAGAACTCTGGGGCCAGAGATTTAGCTCAGTGGTGCCACGCCTCCCTCACAAGGGCAAGGTCCTGAGTTTGATCCCCGGTACCAAAAAAAAGAAAGAAAAATGTAAAATATTACAAAACGGGTCAGCAGATCTCTCTTTTTTTTTTGGTACCAGGGATCGAACTCGGGTCCTTGTGCTTGCAAGGCAAGCAACAGAACCACTGAGCCAAATCCCTGGCCCTAGCAGATCTCTTTTTACAAAGTTATTGACACACAGCTGCACCCATTCATCTATAAATAATGGCTGCTGTTACACTGACTAGTTATAACAGTGACTGTGTGACCTGTGAAACTGTAAAGGGCTTTTACAGAAAAAGTTTACTGACTCATAGGAACGACAGCAGAGGGTTAAGATAGGAGGGTTTTAGTTTTGTTTTGTTGGTACCAGGGATTAAACTCAGGACCTTGCGATTTGGAGGCAGGCAAGTTGCCACTGAGCTAAATCCCCAGCCCTGGTGGGTTTTGGCTTCATGGCTGTACCTTTGGCCTAATTTTATATATAATATAATATATATATAATAGCCTTGTGATTTAAGAGGATACTTTTTCCCTTGCTTCAGTGCTGGGAATTGAACCCAGGGTCTCCACATGCTAAGCAAGCACTCTGCCACAAAGCTACATCTTCAGCACTCTCATCTTTTTACATTTTGAGACAAGGCTTCACTTATTTGCCCAGACTGGGCTTGAATTTATAATCCTCATGCTTCAGTCTTCCAAGTAGCTGGGATTATAGGCATGTGCTCCCTTGCCCAGCTTGAAGAACAT